TTCATATTTTGTGCACTCCTTTAAACCACTGTCATGGAGTAAATTGCCCATGTCCTTGGTTCGGTCCAGTGGCTCACGCTTAAGACTTGATTCTCTCTGGTGACCATATTGATGAATGGATCAAGTTATGGCCTGTGTCTTCCCAGGCTCCATAGATGATGCGTCTCCTAATCCAAGGCACAGGGCCAACAGAGCAGGAGCTCTCGCATTCGAGTGTCTTGTTTCTCCATGAACTGGTGTAGACGTGCCCGCTGCAGGAATTCGATCTCAAGGACATTACCATGAAGGAGAAGCGCGATTGGGAGTTAATTAGAGGTGTGGGGTTGTGAAGAGTTGAAGATGGAACCAATTGCAATCCGCGGGACATCTTGCGTAGATTTTCATCCAGATCGACCAGGGAGGCAAATAAATGTTAGCTCATCTTGCCACATAAGAGTGAAAAACATTAATTTGTCCTTTACTTTTCTAGTCGATAGAACTGTTCGCGGCACATCCAAGAAGGATCGGTGCCACGGAAAGTTTTCCACTCTAGTGCTTGGTTGGGGCATCAACTTGTCGATGTGGGCAGTATGATGGAGATGAATTTGGAGAACGTTCAGTGGCAGGAAAAAAGCGACTGGTGCGCCCTTGTCGGGAGCATGGATCCGTCATCACTGGAGATTTTGGCCCAGTTGCGTAGGCTTATATGCGTCTCCGCACCTGCATGCGCGCGATCCATCCGACGCTCGATTGGCCCAATGAAGCTCATATTGCTGATTATAGGCAAGGAACGCAAACGTGAGCAAGCTGTCAAGGACGGAGTGTGCATGCGTGTCCTCATTCCGAAGATGCTTGAACGGCAAGAACCTCACGGGAAGCTTTTGACATCTACAACCCACAACAATTGAAAGGAAAAAAAAGGATATGGGGTTAGAGGAAAATCTCACACACTGACAATAATCCTGTCCAAATTTGTCCATGAAAACACGGCACATCACTCACGCTTGTTGGACAACACGAGCAATGCATCCTGATCCCGAGACTTGGTGACGTGCGAGCAGATATAACCCTTGGACGTTAAATCGTGCACCAAAGATCGACAGAACAACATGTGCTAATCCGACAGACGAAAGACGGGAACACAAAGCGCAGCCTGTACAGCATCATGGTCGTCATCCGACATTCCTGGCAATTGGTACGTCGCATCCCAAATATGGTTGGCAGCCCTAATGACAAGAATTGCAAAATAAAAAAAAAGTCTATGGCGCACATTAGTGTTCACATCATTGATATGGAGACCACAATGTCCACAATCTTAGACAAAACTTACAGAAAGCGGGGCAGCTGATCCAGTGTCATCATCTTGTTGATATCGTTGACTGTGGGGGCGGCTTCTTCCTGTAGCAGCCTGAAAGATGTTCCAATATCGATGCCCTCGATCACAAGCTGAGAGGTGATGATGGTGGTCGGGTCAAAGAAAACTTGACAGTGCATCGGAATCCCCCCCTTGCTGCCGCTGCTGCTGGCACTTCTTTTTCTGTTGCGAAAGGCCCTCTTGCTCCTGAGCGCTGGTCACTTGACCCAAGTCAAAGCATGATAAGGGAGCTTCGCTCACCACAGTTGAGTCGTCAGCATCGCCATCAACATCTCTCGTCATCCTTGATAAGCTGGCGCCGCCATTGTGCCCCTTGCTCTTCGGCATCCTTTCCTGCCTCTTGTTCTCCTTCAAGGACCATCTACTCAATATATTAATAATACCAGGTTAAAAAAATGCGATAGACATAGCACCAGATCAGGTCTTACAACATCAAGCGGACACAAACAATGGTGAGGAGCATGCACATGTGTCAGTGAACGATGTTACCTTCCAATTTGCTTTTTGACTTGAGAGCAGATGCCGACTCATCCTGGTCACCACCGCCATCCTCCAACAACTTGGCAGTGTTGGCAATCTCCTTCACGCTTGTTGTCTGCACCACCCTTGCGGACTTGGTCACAGCTATCTCCAAGCTGGTTTTGGTCTCCCGCTTCTCCATCTTGAGCAAATGACTCAACCAAAACGACTGCAACATGTTCCGCATAAACACCTCGTGCGTCAACAGCAGTGTTCGTCGACGATCCCCTCGGAGCCGAGAGGAACTGATCAGCGTTTCATACGCTGCTTTGGCATCCTCCAAGTCCACAAACCCAAACTCTTGCACAAACAACGCAAAAAAAACATTCTCCGACGACTTCTCCTGTTCCATGAGCCACGACATGTACTCTTTGACACACACTGCTCCTGACTCGCCACCAGAGTCCTGCTTGTAGCCATCCTTTTCTTCTCCCGGTAGGCTCGACATTGTCGACTCTGCTGCTGATACGAGGTTGCTCCCGTCAAAATACTCCATGGTAGTCGGCCTACGACACAGCTCATTCACATCGAACGAGACCAACAATAACAAAGAAGGAGAAGAAAATGATAGACGTTAGTGCCATTTCTTCTACACCGATTACCAACTAAGTACACCCACAAAGAAACAAAGCTATAATTATATGGGACCGCGGGAGAGCAAGACACATCACAGCCAGTTTGCTTCAAAGGCATGAGCAAGCAGTTCGTCACGACCACGCGTGTTCATTGTTTCCCCCTCTTTTCAAGTCTTCCCAAAGATGTAACAGCTTACCGGCACGACAGCAAAGGGCCGGGGCTGCAGACTGAAGCATATCCGCCATGCGGTCTCCTCCCCGATCTACGCGGCAGAGATGTGAATCCGTTGATCGCGCCCCATCTAAAGGTGGCCTGAGCTGACATGACAGGACTTCCATCGTAGCCTATGCTTGTAATTTGTAGATTACCTTTAAGAGATGCTGAACAGATGACTAGAAAAGAAGGAGAATGACCGAGGGAAGACACAGTGGCAGACGTGGATGGGGTTGATTGAAGGCAAAAGCGAGCTCTGATTCGTGAGGCGTCGAGACGGGAGGTGGAAGTAAGTGTTGATGAGAGACGGGCAATGGAAAGGGGTATGATGGGAGAGGAAGAGTGCGTCGAATAGGACCCGAGAATGAGAACAGTGGCAAAAGAGTGGTGATGGGAGAGTGCGTGCGTATTGATCGATGGGACGCGTCGGCACAGGGACGGGGACAACAAAGGGTGTTAATGAACAGAGGCAAACGTGGGAGCGGATTGAAGAGTTGATGGAGTGGCAAGTGCTGATGGACAGTGGCAAACGTGGGACGTGCGGATGGACGCGTGCGATGATGTTTACTCCTTTCCTTTCTGTGTATCATAGCGGTACTAGGTTCTATTCCAGTCAATCGAATATGGCTTGTTCCTTTTTAGTGCAAAAAAGATAATTGTATGACGGTAAAGACTCTCTTGGTCATCGATGAACATGGCGCTCTTTTTGAATAGGACCCGCCAGTGCCCAAGAGGCACCTGATTCTCAACCAGCTGATGCAGCTTGCCGCATGGAGGGAAACCCGTAGAGGGGCACGAGTGGCCTTGACCGGTACGACACACGAAAGACAGTATGTCAAAAGTGACATGTGGCAATGACTGGAATATGTCACACCTCTGCCCGATACCGTCTTCGACAAGCTGTTGCATATGGACGCAATTCTATCAAGAGCAGCGATCAAGGACCAAGTCAAGGAGATCACAAACCGCGCTCCACGCGAGCTGGTCAACATGGCAGCGTTCGTCCGCCGAAACGTAGTAACCACTGGACAACAATCAGCCACAATCGATCGAGGCACCGTCACCGATCACGACAATGCCTTGTCCTTAATGAACGACTTCCAAGAACAGCGGCATCAGACATTTTATCTGGAGGCTAACACATATTTCAAGAGTCTCGATGATGTTGAACGACATTCGCATCGGCATGCTCTTGCAGCTATGTTTCTGCCTCGAAAAGAAGGCGAACTCGATGACAAGGGCTTTGACTATCAATTCATGGACCTCGGGCCAGTGTATCGGATCAGAGTCGGGGATCGTACAGAATACCGTCTCCTATGTCCGGCTGCCTAAAACGCTCTCCTCCACATCTACAAGTCTATGCCAGTCCCTCGGGATATGATAGCAGCTATTACTGGTGGTAATCCGACGGGAGATCCATTTGAGGACCTGCTCTTGCCTCAACTCGATCTAGGATGTCCTAGGCTGCAACAAGAGTAGTTCATTCTAGTCTTTAATTTCTTCATCTTTCGACCAAATTGTAGAATCCTTCCCGTACACTTGTAACATAATATCCACATCTAATACACGCTCCAACAAACACACACAGAAAAAGACACGATCGTATCAAACGTTGGCTGTCCTCTTAGATTTCCGTCCATTTTTTCACGGGTAAGTGAATCGATCGACGGAGAAGAAGAAGATCTTTGATAGTGACCCATGTTTAAGGCATTCTCTCCCCGTTATCCACGAGTAAAATCTCCAGAGGGAAAGACGGATCATATGTTCCCCTCCCTTCGAAACACAAAAGCACAACAGCCCAAAATCCCCTTTCTCACTCTTTCCGTCCATTGGATGTTGTGCTCCATCTCCGTTTGGAGTTTCGCAATGTTCAGAAAAAGAACTTTTGGGTGTATTTGCTTTGTGCCTTGTATTTGGAAGAATCAGAATTAGGCTTCAAATCTGTATGACTATGGGTGGCTTAGCCCGAACGCGTCCCTTTCTTTTCTAAATTTGATGATTGACTTTGCTTCGCGCACGTCCCAACAATGGCTTTCCTCCACGCATCTCTCCCTACACTCCATCTTTCAGCGCGCACAATCAAACTTCCTGCGTCTACACAGTCATACAAACGCGCCTCACTCTTCTTTCTCATACTCGCCAGTTTCGAGTTATGTAGACAGACGACTTCCTGACTTCCTTCCTCACTCCCTACTCCTTGTGCTCCAGGCGAATCTATCATTGACTTCGAATTAACGCGCCATCAGTCTTGGCCTCGACGCCATCAAATTTTCCCCTCCCATCCCTCAGTGACACCTGCGGCCCGGAAAAGCACCTGTGCCATGGCAAAGCACAAACTGGGCAGATGGCGGAGGCTGGTTTAACGCGTTGTACTTATGTCACAATGTTCTTTGAACGCGTGGGTTCAAATCCCACTCTGCCCAATGTTTTGAACCCCTCCCCCGAAAGAGAACTGCAAGTTTCTTTCCTCTTTCTTCCTCTCCTCAGTAAAGCTCTGCCCCATTTAATTGGGATACATGGCGAAGATGGGACCCGTATCCGGACAATTGTCGTCCATACACTCATGAAGGCGATTGCGATTGTGAAAATCATGACGATGATATTTTGTAGTGATGCCATCACTCGGTGCTTTTAATTGGAGGGTATTTGTTTTACTCAATACCACAAGGTCTTCCCTGTCTTTACTTTTTTCTGTCGTTTCTTCCCTTTTCCGTATTTCAACCATATCTGCCTTGGTTTCCAAATTCACCCACTCACTCACTCTATCAGCTGTGGTCGTGCTCATCTAGCGACGGCACCAGGGCCTCTCTTTCTCCAGCGACGAACACATATCGACCCGATCCCTATTGACATCATCACCTTCCATTGGCGTCTAAGTTGTGTCAGTGTGAGGCACATAAGTAGGCAGAGCATCAAATCCTCAAATAAACGAGAATATTGACCAGAATGGGTAACAATTGAAATCGAACACCCATACTACGCATCATTCCAACCGGTGCTCAAGTCCCTTTGCCACCGTCTCAAACATTGCCCCAATGACTGACCAAGACCAGGACTCAACCGATCCAGAGGGATCCATCCACAAAGTTACTGAACAAAACCAATTCATTGCACTTTTGTACTCTGCCAGGTTTCTTTCATTTCATGTTGAGTTGATGCTTATGCTTGTACTTTTTTGGCCATCAAAAGTTGGCGGAGCTTGTGACCGCTGGTTGGTCGGAGAACAACGTCCCGGAAGAAGACATTGAAACAGAACAAACAGCTGCAATGCGAGGAAAGCCTAGACAGAGGCGTCCCTGGCCACAGGTCAACCCTCGCAAAACTCACCAATCAAATAGAGTCACCCTCAATCTCTTTTGTAACAGACACACTCTTCTTCAGCGCCCATTTACTCAGCCTTCTGGTTCGACAACTCTATTCGCCCGTGCAGGTCGTCACAATGACAGTGTAGAGCAGACTACACCAAAAAAAAAGCCAGTTGACTTTGGCCCTTTGTTCTGTCTTCTATAAGGATTTTTTCTTTCTCAGACGAGGGCGCAGTGGAGACTCAACAGCTTGGATAGCCAAAAAGCACATCTCTTAGATAGTTTGTTCTCACTGACATAAAAATATGTTCGATTCTGCGTTACATGAGGCTATGGGTGTTCCCAAAGGATTAGATTCGGTGAACGAAATCCAACAAAAAATGCTACACCCAGATGTCATTCTCGAGCGCAAACCCATCACCATCACTCACATAGCTCTCTTCAAAATAGACTTCACAGGGTCGCAGCTGCCACATTGAAAACCCATTCGGCATTAGTAACCTGGGTCCAGATTGATGACTTGCATGCATGGAGCAAACGTTGCATTGCTTTTTCTAATCCCCCCCTCGTGCGTTCCAAATGGCACGTGTTCGACAAAGATTTTGTTGGCAAACAGGACCTGAAAAAAAGAGGGCAGAAGTGGATGAGGACGGTGTGTGCCAATCAATTGGCATCACTCGCGCAATCAAAAGACAGATCGCTCCAGGCTATGATTACTCCAAAAAGTGATTCGCCATTAGGAACAGGCATTCAAAAGACAAACAGTCTTTCGAATGGAGGATGAGATGAAAGAGAGGCAAAGAATGGCGTGGGTGAACACAAAAAAAGGGAGAATCAAAAACAAGTGACAAGGTCGCACTCAAGTGGAGGTGGCCAGCGACCAAGTCTCAATCATACTGAGGTGTACGTTTCTTTGTTTCTGTCACCCTTACTAGCGTTTCTGTTCATATGGATCGGATCGGCTTTGGGTCAATCTGAGTACGATCCAATAAAATTTGTTCGTATATTATACGATACGATCATACAAAGATTCGTATGAGGATATAAAGAAAAGCCGATCGGATCGGCTGGCTGTTGCGTTCGGATGGAGTTCAGATCGTA